GAGAGGAGAACTCCGAATTCAGAGGAATAGTGTGCTCATTCCAGGTAACCCTTTGATAAAAGAGGAGCACTGCTTAACACTACCACGAGAACAGCCCATGGAGCGAGGAATCCAACTCCTCGGAGAGAATTAAACGGTCGAATGAAAGCACCATACTAGTGACATTTAGTTAACATGCATAAGTACATGTAGAAGCATAACGTGCACACTCACCACTTATGTGGATTTTAGAAAGTGCACAAAGCATTACGTGCACACTTACCACTTATGTGGATTTTTAGAAAGTGTGCAAAGCTTAACGTGTGCACTTACCATAGTATGGATTTAGAGTTTTACAAGCATCTGCTCACAGATACCCGGAAGTACTGGGCCAAACGGGAGAGGCAAGCTCAAATACAACCCTCTAAGGTGAGGGGAGCACTGCCTGAGACAGCATTACACAAGAAGGTTCTCGCAAATGCCACCTATACTTCCCGCTCGATGCCTCAGCAAGAGGGGATATCCTGGTGATCAGGAGGCCCCTCAGGGCGACCTAGATACAGTAAACCAGACAGGGCAGCCTGAAAGCATAAGCCCAGCCCGGACATCCAGGAAATTTTTGCAGTGCCGTGCCGGGGGCCTGATGATCAAGAAGGCTCCCGCAGAAGCCTGTGATCTGGCCGCATGATTCAGGAAGTATGAAGCCGAAATCCGGCTTATCGTACCGTTTGGACATATATCGATGAGTGAGATAAACACTGCAAGTCGAGCACCCAGTTTCTGAATTCAGCAGAGGAGGTGCTCACCGAGGACCTACCCTAGAAAGGGACAGAAACACACAGGTCCCGGGAAACACTGCACAGAAAGCTAGCAGAAGGGTTATACACACAACCACCAGCGCATTAAATACACACATTATATATATATACAGTGGTGTGAAAAGGTTTTTGCCCCCTTCCTGTTTTTTTTAATTTTTTGCATATTTGTCGCACTTAAACGATTCAGGTCATCAAACAAATTTTAATATTACGCAAAGATAATGAGCCGGCCAACGTGTTGTTGGTGTTTTTTCAATGTATGCTTCAGACACGGTTCACAACGAGGCGTTCCCCATAGCAACCCCTAGAGGACGCAGTTCGAAGTTCCCATGAAAGGGAATTACATAGTTTGTATTCACCAAAACTTATATACTGAAGTGAAAACACGGACAGAATTGGTGTTAGCGCGAGCGCAGCTTGAACCGACCAAGGGCCCCCCTCCCGCTCCCTACCTCGCACCGGGCCCCAAGCCAGCTAAGGACGGCTCTGGCTGTGAGGCGGGAGTGACGAACCGGCTGAGGATTGCGCAGCCTTCCTTGAACAGTTATGTTCATGATTTCTGATTTACTTAACGTATACTGTGTGAGGGGGGCTGTGATTGGATGATGACAGGTATCAGTGATCATTCTCAAGTGATCAGCACCGCTGCTGTTGTATCAGTCAGTGGTTAGATCAGCGTAGCAGTCAAAAAACGGGACAAGGGAAGTCACTTACGGGACAAATCAATTAGGCCCAAAATACGGGACGTCCCGGCTAATACGGGACGGTTGGCAACCCTAGTTATAAATGAGGCCCCAGGACCGGAGTCCGGACTTTGAGAAACACTGATTTAGATGCTCGCGACAATATCAATCTTGTCCAATAGTGATGGGAAGTTCGGTTCTTTTCCGCGAACCGGTTCTTTCGGACAGTTCGATTCAATAAACCAGCTGAAAAAAACGGTTCACCGGTTCTTTTATGGTCGACGTAATGACGTCATTGGCGATGACGTAATGGTGTCAAGTCTATCGCGGGCTTAACACATTCAAATATAAAGTCAGTAATCATAACATCAGTCAATTAAAACATCATTATAATCTGATGTTTTCTTACAGAAACCATGTCAGTTTCGGTTGAAAACATTTTAAGTTCAAGTGTTAGCATTATAAACACTGAATTAATACCAACATATGAAATTAAATTAATGACACAAAAATTAAGAATGTTGGACAATAAATATATAACAGGAGTATAACAGCTTGACAGTAAAACAAATAGAAGGGAACAAGTAATTTTAACACATATATGAACAGGACATTCTTATCTTAACCAAACTATACATTATAGGGAAACATAATACTGCTCTACGTAATGTTTGTTTAACAGAGGAATCTGTGGAACACGTTATGATGATATGTACAGCATATGAAAGAGAATGGATCGACTTAAAGGGGTCCTATTATGCTTTTTCACTGTTTCAACTTTAGTTAGTCTGTAATGTTGCTGTTTGAACATAAAAAACTCCAACGAACGACTCGTTTGGACAACACATATTTTCCGGGATTTGTGATATCACAAATATCGACGAATGGGACGAGACCTGGTTGAGCTGCACTAGAGAAGGCAACGAGTGTTATCACTATGTCGGGGACACGCTAGCTTTCCCAAGGCAGACGAACTTAGAGTGGTTACAATCATCCGGGTTTAAATCACGCTCAAATTGATTTAATTTTGACGCAATATTTACACTGAAGCTCACAGGCGGCTATGGTAAGGGGCATGACATTTCCTGACCAGGCGCCGAGTGCTGCCAATCACAACACACACTGGCCCAGCTAACCAATCACAACACACACTGGCCCAGCTAACCAATCACAACACACACTGGCCCAGCTAACCAATCACAACACACACTGGCCCAGCTAACCAATCACAACACACACTGGCCCAGCTAACCAATCACAGCCGTTCATGCCAGACTGGGGAGAGAGGTGTTGTAATAATGTAAAATATTTGAAAAATAATGTGTTTTTCGAACAACTTAGTATGAGAGCCTGTTCTAGTACACCCCCAAAACAAAATCAAGACTTTGTAAAAGAGCATAATGGACCCCTTTAAAGATGAGTTACAATCCTTAGGAATTAAATAATTTTCATTAAGTAGTATTCTGAATGATGGTCCAAATGCACGAAAACAAATAAGTGCAATCATGAGATTTCTTAAGAATTGTGCAATAATGAACAGAATATAAGATTTAGGTAAGAAACGGTACATGCTCTTCACACTCCATCACAGTAGGTCGCGGTATGCACCTATGAAGTTGGTTCGCAAGCCGAAAAAAACAAAAGAAGAAGACCCCCACCCGTATTTGTCCAAACGTATCAAATCAAGATTGGTAAAAGAGTTTCTGATCAAGTAGGAGTTTACACTACAGAGATGGTAGCAATATAATTAACTATCAGGTGACTGGAGGATACTCGGCCAATGAATGCAGTGATATGTTCAGATTCATTCTCTGCATTATCAAGTCTTATCAGTGGAAGATCTTCAAGACAAGACATTTGGTATGCAATTCTTTTATGTATAGTGTGAATAAGATAGGAATTAAGATAGGTTTCCTGTGGGTTCCAGCACACGTGGGAGTGCATGGAAATGAGGTTGTGGATCATTTAGCAAAACAGGCACTGAAATGATCACATATAGAAATTATTATACCACTAAGCAAAGAAGACGTTAAGGCTAAAATTAGAACAGCAATAAAAATGAGATGGCAAGAAGTTTGGAATAAGGAGGAAGACATATTCCAAATCAAGTTGGGGTTGAAAGAGTTAATTTTGGTAATAGAAGAGAAGATATAATTATTACCAGACTTCGCATTGGCCATACTGCTTTAAATTCTTCTGTATATAAAATGAATAAGCATGCGTCTGGGAACTGTAGTCTGTGTGGATTACCAGAAACCGTAGAGCATGCACTATTACGTTGTTCTGCTTATGATAATGAAAGAGCATTTCTGTTGGAAGAATTAAAAGAAATAGGGATGGAAAATATTACACTTACAACTTTGTTGAATAATGGCTTGAATCATTATAAAATATGTAATGCTTTAATGACATTCTTTAAAAAAAAAAAAAAAAAGTAGATCTGTTTAACAGGATTTAGAAGGGTTTAATTTTTTATTATATATGTATATATATATATATGTATCCATCAATGGTCCACACTCCAGCCCAGTAGGCGGCGGGAATGCACTTATCGTTTGTTTGCCAACCGCCATAAAACTCCAAAAGAAGAACTCCAAACATGGGTGTTGAATCATTTAATTTGTCAAGCCTTTTGAAAGAGCATGCAGAACAAGGTAAAATATATGGTGCTATTGTTAAATACATTAAAGAAATAGGATTAATCAGGAGAATTTAGGAATTTTTTTGTTGTGTTTATATATATATGTGTGTGTGTGTGTATATATATATATATATATGTTGTGAAGAAGATAGGAATTAAGGTTTCCTGTGGGTTCCAGCACACGTGGGAGTGCATGGAAATGAGGTTGTGGATCATTTAGCAAAACAGGCACTGAAATGATCACATATAGAAATTATTATACCACTAAGCAAAGAAGACGTTAAGGCTAAAATTAGAACAGCAATAAAAATGAGATGGCAAGAAGTTTGGAATAAGGAGGAAGACATATTCCAAATCAAGTTGGGGTTGAAAGAGTTAATTTTGGTAATAGAAGAGAAGATATAATTATTACCAGACTTCGCATTGGCCATACTGCTTTAAATTCTTCTGTATATAAAATGAATAAGCATGCGTCTGGGAACTGTAGTCTGTGTGGATTACCAGAAACCGTAGAGCATGCACTATTACGTTGTTCTGCTTATGATAATGAAAGAGCATTTCTGTTGGAAGAATTAAAAGAAATAGGGATGGAAAATATTACACTTACAACTTTGTTGAATAATGGCTTGAATCATTATAAAATATGTAATGCTTTAATGACATTCTTTAAAAAAAAAAAAAAAAAGTAGATCTGTTTAACAGGATTTAGAAGGGTTTAATTTTTTATTATATATGTATATATATATATATGTATCCATCAATGGTCCACACTCCAGCCCAGTAGGCGGCGGGAATGCACTTATCGTTTGTTTGCCAACCGCCATAAAACTCCAAAAGAAGAACTCCGTTGGATGCCACCCGCCATAAAACGAAGAAGAAGAAGAAGAAGAAGAAGAAGAAGAAGCACCACACCCTGTACGCTCACTTTTGTTTTCGCTTTACCTCGAAATGTTTGAATGTATGATGTATTGCATTTATTGAATATGTCAAATTTACAAATACGGTATTTGATGCTAAGACTACATACATGAATGTTTTCGGGATATTGAAGAAGCGCCTTCAGTCTACCAGCCAGCGAGAGCGTCATAAGATGTCGTCATCAGAAACTAGCAACAAAATGGTGGAAAGACTGAACATGAAAGCGAGTCTTTTGAGCATATTTGGTAAGGTGATGGTCAGTACACGATTGTGTTCTGATCGAGACGATCACCTGGTCATATTTGAAACAATTAACAACAATAATTACAAAACATTGCGAATGCCCAGAGTAGCTCTCTCTCTGGTACAACGTTGTGTAACTTATTTTTATCTTCGCAGGTATTTGTTCTTTTCTTACATATGGAAATACATGCGGTCCAAGTGAATATAAATCTGCTGATGAAGAATGTTGTCCAATGTGTAATGTGGGTAGGTTAACTAACCAGTAATGTAAAGTACAAACAATGAGAAACAATGCTGCGTATAGTGTGCAATATACAAAATACTACTAAATCACCTATAACATTTTATACATACTAAACTCTTTAAATACAATCATAACCAAAGTAATTCAAAATTCATATACACCATTTGTGTGTAATTACCTTTGGGTGCAGATCTGCACTCTTTCCAGATAATGTTACCTAATACCCTCTCGTCTCCTCTTCAGTAGCCTGTACCTCCCGCTACACCCTCTGTACATCTCAGAACTTACATTTTATATCTCTCGGGTAAAACATCATCACTTGATGTTTGTGACAAGGAGGGGCACTATGGTATAGCCTTCTATTGGTCCAGGGAGATGGACTCATAAACTTTTAGTCCAGGAAATCCTTGAATTGCTTGGTCACCTTAGTGTTGTGTGTTAATATTTATTTTTTTGCAGGGTCAGTGGTGTACCGTCACTGCACTGGTGATTTCAGTACCACATGTATACCCTGCGCTCCAGGAACATTCATGAGTCAACCCAATGGTCTTGATAAATGCTTCTCATGCAAACACTGTGCTGAAAGTATGGTTTTATTTTTATTTTTTATCTTCAAAATTTGTAATTTTACATTATTGTCTATGTAAACGTGTTGCTATATGTGCTCTTAGGTCAAGGCCTTTACATCCAGAGTAAATGCACTACCGCTTAGGAAATACATCAACTTTGCGCTGTGGATCACCGGATCGGCTTTCACCGTGGACGAAGCTGATTCCAGCCCGGGGTCGTCACGTGGTTGCTGCAAGCCCTCCGGCCGCTCCTTCGTCGAATCCTCCGGCCGCGCCGTTCTCAAGCCTGCCGCCTCTGCTCACTCTAGCCCTCCGGCCGTTCCTCAATCTAGCCCCCAGCCTCTGCACACTCTAGGCCGCCGTGTGTGACGCTGTGTTTCGTTGTGAAAGCGAAACTACTTTGTTTGGCTTTCCAAAAGTGGACACGACTAGAAATCAGTGGTTAAGTTATATTTACAACACTGTTCCAGAACACTTCAACCCAAATATTCAGATGTGTGCAGCACATTTTATGGAGGACTGTTTACTGATCCTGGTAGAGTAGACTACAATGCCGGCTGTTCGGACTCACAGATTGTAAGTAAGATTTTTTTATATATTTATGAGTTTTTATGTTTTATTTGTAAAAATCAATGCGTTTCAGAAAGGCGGGGCATAGAGGAGAAACAATAATGTACAGTATGTGGAAAATGTGTTTTTTGAACCTTAAACCGCATAAACACATTTCATTACACCAAATACACAAAATAATGTTCTTTTTAGCAACATCATATGACCCCTTTAAGCTAAAATCTTGCCTCCTCACTTCCTCATTGAGAAATTATTCAGTTAACATTCGTAGTCCAAAAATTGTATACGTTGCATAAACAAGCACATCAGTCAAAACGAATACAATACAAGTAAACACGTTATCTCGATGTGGGCAGGTGCCAAATCCTGCTGGAAAACGAAATCAGCATCTTCAAAAAGCTGGTCGGCAGAAAATTTCTTGGTAAACGGGTGCGGTGACGTTAGTTTTCAAAAAACACAATGAACCAACCCCAGCAGATGACATTGCACCCCAAATCGTCACAGACTGTGGAAACTTAA